TTCTCGCCGACCGGTCAGGTTTTGCTGCGTTTCCATGCCCGACTCTTTGAAGTTGTGTGACGATGACGAGTACTTACAGTTCTGCGCCTTCTCCTCCCGATTCATCGCCAACCCCGACAGAAGCTCCATCGCCGCTGCTACAAAACCCACTCTACCCGCCACCATAAATGGCATGCAATGCCAATCTCTTGTCCTTCTCCGAGTCAGGTAAATCCCTCCCATCTTTCCCTTATCACTTGCCAAGAGAGACTCTGCCGCTTACCCACTTCCCAATTTACTCGATTCAACTCGATCAGCCTTCGAGAGGCATGGCAATGGCGCCTAGAGCTTATGTTATGGCGCTGGTTCTGTCGGTGGCTGTGATTCATGCCCATGGAGCCGTTCACAAGGTTGGAGACTCCGCCGGCTGGACTACGATTGGGAGCCCCGATTACAAGCAGTGGGCTGTCACTAAGAATGCAAAATTGAAAAACAAAATCCATTCCCCCGACCAGGAGCCTCGCCGGCGGCGGGACGCTACCGAAGTTGGTGATAATCTATGACCGAAATTCCAAATTTCTTCTAGCTAAAGCATTCAAGGAAAGATCGACACTCTCGGGTCAGCAGCACTAAACAGACACAATCAAACATCTCTATCATCTTGAGAGAAGAAAAAATGAACATCCCGAGCTGCAAGAGAAGCCTTCATCTCTTTCCCCGCCGTTGTACCCCTGCCGTGGGCCAGCTTCTTCAGGTACCTATCTCCCTGTTAATAAAAAAACTCTCTGGAAAATAGCAGCGGCGACGGAACTTCTGCCGGGGTTGGCGATGAATCGGGAGGAGAAGGCGCAGAACTGGAAGTACTCGTCATCGTCACACAACTCCGAAGAGTCGGGCATGGAAACGCAGCAAAACCCGACCGGTCGGCGAGAATGATGTGTAATTTCTAAAAATTTAATTTTTATTTTTTAATTATTTTTTATTTGCCACGTCACACATTTAACGGTCAACTGTCAGAGTTGACCGCCACGTCAGTCAAAGTTAACGGAGGTTAACGGAGAGCGACCGAACTTGAACTGTTCAACTAATTCGAGTGACTATAAATGGAATAAATTAATTTGAGTGGCAAACGTGAAATTTTATAGCAATTCGAGTGACCAAACTTGCAATTAAGCCGTTTTATCTGGGTTAGCTCGAATATTCAAATAAAATCATATTGTTAATACATTTATAAATAGATTAATATACTTTTATGGTTCGAATTTTTCACAAATTAAATATTTTGTGCCGTCTTTTCGTTCTATAATTTCGTGGCCTCAACTATACATCAAAGTTACAAAATTGACCGAATCCGAGATTTGACCGTTATCTTGGACAGTCAAATGCGCTGACTAAAGGTCAACGCGCCACGTCACTTCCAAATCAGCATAGACTACTTAATTTTTTTGTTTGTTCCACGTATTACCATTTATCTTTCTTATTTTTAATTTCTTTTCCTTTTTTCCTGTTGTTCAAAATAAAAAAAGATAAATGATAATAGGCGAAAAAGATCAAATTTTTTAAGTGGTGTGTGCTAACTTGGTAGTGATGTGGACCGTCCAAGATAATAGTTAAATTTTGATTTTGGCCAATTTCGTAACTTTGATGCATAGTTGAGACCACGAAATTATCAATTGAAAAGATTGGCCAATATGTTTAATTTGTGAAAATTTTGGGACATATAAATATATTAACCATTTATAAATTATATCAAACCTCATCTGACATATATATGAGTAATAACATATAAAATCACGCAAAAATAACAGGTTATACTTGGATCTAGCATATAGTAAAAATTCACACACATATATAACATCATATTCAAATGTTCAACTTAGAATTCCAAATATCGGGTTAGGCGAAGAGGAAAATTGGAAAAGATGCGCATTAGTAAACCAAAGAAAAAACGACGTCGTGTAACCTCTAACTAGGTAACCTTGCAGTGGGTCGATCTGCGAGAGTGTGTGACCCATTTTTCTCACTGGTCAATCGGCGAGTTAATCATCTGAAAATCATATGACATTTTCACTATGGTTAGCTAGCCCACTAACTCTCCTCTAAGTATTTCTTTGGTGTTTGATATTTTTATTTCATACTTTCATAATTTTAATTAGAGTTTAATAAATAAATTAATTTATGGTTATCTTATACATGGAGGATAATTTTGAAATCACAACCCAAATACCATAGTTTGAATATTGCGTATTGAATTGCAGTATTGAATTTGTAGAGATGATGTAGATTTCTTAACTTATTGTTAATTTTTAGAATTATCATAAAGCAATGATATTTTTGTGCAAATTATAGGTGACCAATTTGAAAATTTTAGTTCGGTTTAAAGATTAAATCTCTTGAAAATCTGGCATGATTGGACCCATGGGTGAGTTACGACTCACTATTATCGTAATCAAGTCGTCGAAATCCAAACTCCATCCACTAGTCACCACATTTTTATATCTGCATTATGAGATTTGTGGTTTGTTTCTCGTGTTTCCAGTCTTCATTTTGTGGTTTGCTTTATCAAGTTTCTGTTCTACGTTAGAAAGTTTTTGGTTTGCTTTAAAAATATTTGTGCTCTGTTTTATAGTGTTTTTGTTTTGCTTCATGAGGTTTGTGGCCTATATTGGGAGGTTTTTAGTGTGTCATATAAATATTTTGGTGTGCTTTTTGGTGTTTAATGTATGCTTCATGAGATTTATGGTATGTATTAAAAGTTTATGACGTGCTTTAAAAATATTTTTATATGCTTTGTCGTGCTTCTGGTATCCTTCATAATATTCGTTATCTGTATTAGGAATTTCTTGTGTGTTTTGGAAATATCTGTTGTATGCTTTGTGGTGTTTCTGGTTTGCTTCACGAGATTTGTGGTCTACTTTCTCCTTCTTCTATTTTTTTCTTTTTAAGACATATATGTGATGTGCTTTGTGTGGCTTGCTATCTCTTGTTTATGGTCTCATTAGGAGGTTTTTGTGTGTTTTAAAATATTTATTGTCGATCTTGTAGTGTTTCTGGTTTTCTTTATGAGATTTGTTGTGTGTTTTCTTATATTTTTAGTGTGCTTTATAAGATTAGTGGTTTATTTGTTGTACAACAAGTTGAGGTGATTGTCAACTAAGTTGGACGGGATCAAAGCTCTTCAATTCAGTGCTTGAAGGAATTGTCCAATTGAATTTGTTGTACGTCAAGTGAAGGTGATTCATAAATGTCAGACTCCCAATTGGGGTTAGTACATGTTCGTAGCATCCTATCATAATCAAGCAAAGCTTTTTCGTTATCGATTCACTGCTGCCGAGATCCCATCGTTATAGCCCAAACCCACACCTGCCTAACACAAACATTTTCGAACCCACTTCGCTGCCGTATATGAAACCAAACCATTCCCATAAAAAAACAATCTTCATGTAACAGCCATCCAAAATCATGAGCAAATTCATTCTCCCGTCATTCCCAACCATCAAAGAAGAACCGTCGCTACTTGGAATTGGAGAAAACGGAGAAGGCGAAACTTCACGTTCCATGGGATATTGTTACGAGATAGGATCTAATTGGTCTTCGGATTTCGAATACGTGGTCGAAATTCTCAAGTAGAGGATCTTTTTAATAGTGATAATGACCTCAAAATACTATGAAACTACTAAATGAATCATAAAGCAAGAAACATAAATTGGATTCCAATATTCTCATATGCAAAATATCGTCATTGTTGAATTCTAAAGAGGTTTGGGTATGGCTGACTCTCGTGATAATCGGATTGGAGCAGTCCTCGAGGAGGTTGGACGGCATATGGTTAATCACCTAGGGCTTAATGTACGATTTGTAGGTCGGAGTAGTAATAGGGGTAGCCCATATGGTGACTAGAAAGGTAATTTCTTTGTACCCGACTACTTGTCGTTTCTTTGATTTTCTTACCTAGTTACATACTAGGATATAATGATCTTCTGTTCCAATCAATATAAATGATTATCTTTTGTATAAAAAAAAAAGAAGTTTGGGTTTCACTAATGCCAATAAAATCTTAGATCTCACTCGTTATCTTTGCGCTACCTGAGTTGTGTTCCTTGCCATAACTTGTCTTTGTATCCATGTTGCCTCCGTAACAAGTCTAAATATCATGTGCTTTATAAAATGGGGGTGACCGGAATTCAAACAAAAAAACATCTCAATCATATAAAGTTGTGATACCATGTCAAGAACTAGTTGATCCGAATAACTCAAATTGTTAAAAAATGTTCAATTATCAATCTTATATCATTCACTAATATTCTTTAGTGAATTGTCTGGCGTGGATTGATGAAAGGTTGGCATGGTGGAATTATTCTACTTTGACCAAGTTGTCCCTATGTATCCTTTGAATAGTTAGATTTATTTTCAATCGAATGCATCCATAGATTGATAGATCCATGTATCAATGGATTGGATCATATGAATTAGTGGATTGGTCTATGATAATCGCTCCAAATGACATCTAAGTCTTGGATCAATAGGAAATTTTTGAAAAATTAGGTACTAAAATATCATATTAAAAAATGTTAGGTACCAAACTTAACTTTCTCATGACATTTTTTGTATGTACAAAATTGTAATTTGCCAACGATCCACGAATGCAATCCATGAAATCACCAATCTAATTGAAATTGAATAAAATGAATTGGATTAGTACGACATTTAAGTGGATAGATTGGATTTGTGAATTGAATTATAAATTATCAAATCTACTCTTGTTAATTGTTATGACACCCTAGCCAAACTCTGGTCCAACCATAGTTGGCCACATGCATAGGGTGTGGTTATAGCCTTCAGGGCTATTTAAATGTTGATTCGGTATTAGATCGTCTTCAACCAGAAAATATATTAGAATAGGATCTTCCTGCACTGTAATTAGGGCTGGCTATTTAGTCCCGGTTTTTTAGTTTTATCCGAAACCGGATCGTATAACCTGGACCGAGACCGAACCGGGACCGAATAGTAAACAATTCAATCCAATCTTTGGGCTTAGATTTGAAGTAAAAAACCGTTCGGGACCAGATCGAAAACTGGATAAAAACTGAATAAGAGAGCTCAACACCCAAAACTTAAGGGTAATTTGCATAAACGGTCAAAAACCTTTGCACTTAGTACAAAACTTAACCAACTCCTCACCCTTTCATGCCTTATGCCACTCAAATCCCCACAAGCTCAATATAAAATAAAAACCGAATTAGGATCGGACCGGGTCAATACCGGACTGTATCCAATCCAATTTTTGATCCCTATATTTTCAAAAAAACCGAACTGTACCGGATCAATTTGGGCCAATTTAACCGGACCATATAGCCACCCCTAACTGTAAGTGATTCACCACACGCCAATTACAAGAATGAGAAGGAACGACATACATTACGAGATAAAGCCTTCACAATTCCTACATAAAATATATGGACATCAAATAACCTTATTTCGGCTGATGGTTTAACATAGTAAATCCCACGGACGACTTCCCCAAATTATACACAGGCATCAGAAACTTGCATGGACCTTTTACCTGTTCAACGAAGGGTCAGTTATGACCTGGGGCTCGAAATCCGGCCTCACATATCGGGCAAGTAAATCAGCATATATCTCATACCGAGCAGTCATTCTGAATCCCCACTTATCCTTGAGCTGTCTACAAAGGTTAAGATCCATGTCCGTGATCAGCAGACCATCCTTGCGACGAGATAATGAGGGGGTGCAAGAAGCATCAGGCGCTGAGAAATAACTTGACCCGTAAAAATGACCAAAATCATTGTGCTGTGGCTTCCCATCACCAGAGGTGAATGCATTTGGGAATATTTCAGTCCCAACACGATTGATTGATCCAACAAAGTAGCTGTTTGCTATTGCTGCGTTACGAGCCTGAAAAGAAGAGGTGATACAACATCAGTATAGTCCCATTCCATGCGACAAGAACAACCAGTTTCAAGTTATCAGGACTGCAATTGACCCATCTCGGCTGATGTAAATCTAACTCTATGGAAACAATATCAAGGTGCCAGAAGAAAGATCACCTCGATTGGCCACATTGGTTCGCTGAGCTCCCCAACAGTGGCTGAAGGGTTGAACACAATCTCTGCACCATTCAAGCCAAATGCTAACCAATTCAAAGGATGGTGCCTCCCGTAACAGATATTGACAGCAATTTTTCCAAATGCTGTTTCAAACACAGGGTGTCCAGTATTTCCTTCCATATAATATGTGCTTTCGTTGAAGTCGCCGACTCTAGGGATATGGTTCTGTCAAGGACAGCAATGATTAGTCATTCAATGACCGGGAAACCAAAAGAACATGTGGCACAACATGTAGGCCATCTGTATACCTTTCTGTGCTTGCCGATTATGTTACCATGATTGCCGATGATAATAGCAGTGTTCCATAGAGTGTCTCCATGGTTTACATCCCTCTCTAGGATAGGGCTTACGATAACCATGTTGTATTTGCGCGCATATTCCTGAAGGAATTTCGTTGATTCCCCATCGATAGGCTCTGCAAGCTCACACCATTTCTTCTCCCTTGTACAGAAAGCAAAGGGCATCATCCATGCTTCCTGTAATTCCCGGACTATAAGATAAAATAACTTAACCTAAAGGAACAGCGGAGTTACTCACGCGTCATCATCCAACTTGCCTGCAAACAAAGAATGTTTACACCCGAAGAACCAGCAGCTTCAATAATTGGCTTCAATTTCTGAAAGATGGCCTTCTTTTGATCTGAGAAGCTGGCAGTTGTTGGAATGGCTATCGAGTTCTGGATAAGGCCAACTCTGACAACCCGAGGTTCTCGCAATGCCTCTCTGTCAGCGTTGAAACGAAAAGCCTGAACCACCCAATTCAGTATAGCTAGCAGATTAACATCAGAGCCGTACAAGGACCATACAGTTGAATAAAAAAAAAAAAAAACTATAATCCTCGAGATTAGAAAGTCAAGAACCAGATAACACAACAGTAAAAGGGTTCATCACAAATAAAGGACTTATTTGTGATACACAAGTACATACATACATACATGATACATACCTGAAGGTCAAAATCATGTTCGTCAGAAAGAGCTTTTGCAGGCTCTGGGATTGCCACCGATTGGAGCGCCTTGCCGCAATTCAAACCCAGGATCAAGCGGTTGACTTCCTGAAAGACGTGAATTCCCAGTCAATCGTCAAGGTCAAAAGCGTGCAGCCATTAGGCCGTAGAGGTGGAAACCCCATCAAAGACCTTGAGATCCAATTTCCAATAACATTCCAACAGCAATATCGGATCGCTTACCAGATCGACAGTTCGCTATTCCCAACGAGAAAAGTACAGAAAAGAAAAACAGCAGCGCTCGCCTGATTTGGTACCTCAAAGAGATGGGGTTCGAGATTAGAACTGAGAAGCTGGCACAGTGACTCGTACCCGCAAATTGAACCATCTCCACCTCCATTACGGAGATTTTCATTTGCGACCGCTTCGCTTTTCTCCATAGTATCTGTCGTTCAACGGCAGTAGAGCAAGAGTGGAATGAAAGGGTGAGATACAGATTGAGGGAGCAGTGATCAATTGGAATTTAATCGCACGATGACTGACACGCATAAATATTGAACCTATTTGTAAAACATGAAAAGTTAAGGTATCGGTTAGTAAGACACAAAAACTTTAGGTACTAAAATGTATTTTTTATCAACATTTTGAAACCTACCTGCAAAAAAAAAAATTAATTTTAGATACTAAATCTAATGGTTTATTAAGTTTAGATACCAAACTGTATTTTACAAACAGGTAAATTGCCATTCTTACAAAACACCCCAATCATTCGCGCTATGTTTTTACTTTTTACCTTTACCCTCCCCCAATCCTCTCACTTGCTGGTACTTTCTTGCCTGGCTATTTGGTCGATAGGTTGCTCTGCCGGACATCCAAAGTAGCTCTCGACGGCGCACGGTACTCGCTATTCTTCAGTTATATGATTCTCCTTCTCCATTTCTTAGTTCTAGTCTAGTTCTTTTTCCGAACGCCAGTATCTAGCTTCGTTTCGAGGATTGAACTATCTTTTGAGCTCTTGATGAGGGTTTTATTTAGGGTTTCATGTTATGGTGTGTTGCGTATGGGTAAGGCTCGTTTTTTGCTGCAATTTCAAGCTCTTTGCAGAGAATAGTGGAGGTCAGGTGTTGTTTACATTGGAATTTTGGTCCGCTGTTTATTTTAAACTCTATTAATAAAGCAATTTCGCTATGGTACACAAACATCATTTTGTGTGCACCAACTCACACGACAGGGAGAAGGCCACGTCGCCAAGCCAGTAATGGTCGACCATGATTGAGCGAGCTGGGAGTAAGAGAGGAAAGGGGAAAAGTGAAGCCGCGGAAGCCACGCCAAAAACTGAAGGGAGGGAAAGGTGGTGGGGTCGCGGAATTTGGGTTTTGAAATTGAAAAAAAAGGCCTCCTGTCTCCTCAACCGTCTCCTCCTCCACTCTTCTTCCTTCTCTCTGCTCCTTCTTTCCCTATTCTTCTTCTTTCTCCGCCATTTTCTTTCTCTGTTTTGCTCTCGTTGAACAGAGCAACACAGACCACCCCTCCCAAAAACAAAGAAAAGCGAGGAATACCGGAACAAGATAAGCGCCGAAGAAATCGTCATCTCTTGTCGGCGACGAGCAGCCCAGTTGATAACCAGGAGAGCTTCGACGAGGATGAATCGTCCTTCCTCGAGTTCTTTGTATTTCGGTCGACCTTTCTCGCCTATTAATACCGGTGAGGACGATTCTTTCTGTCCTTTTCTTTCTAGCTGTGGGGTTTTGCCTTGAATCCACCTTTTTGCTTCATTCTTGAGTGTTTAGGGTTCACTGAATACGCGTTTAGGATTTTTTCGGTACACCTTCAAAATTGACTCGATTCTCATGAGTATTCTTCAGAATGTGTCTTGTGTGGGCGAGATATGTGAATTTTGTGTTGACCAAGTTTTTGGGTTGTTGCTTAGAATTGGTTCTTGCTTAGAATCAGTAATATGGTTGAATCCAAAAGTAGTTGTTACCATAACCTTCAATCTGTTGAATACTAGTGATTTGTGTTTTGAAAATTAGTTATATAATCCTAACAATAATATAAAGAGGTTCTCCATGAGAACATGTTTAATTCTAAATTTCGAGGCTTCTGAGTAAATTTAGGAAGGATTTTTTTGTCATTTTAGTTAATAATAAAAACTCTAAGCCTATTAGTAAACGGAGATTTTAATTGAGCTATTTTCTAGGTCAATTAATTATACTATTGGAAAAGAGATTCCGTTGGGAATTTTCTTTAAAATAATTATTATATTATTGTTTTAGTTAGGAAATATGGTGGCGTGTATAGAGGTTTAGTCTGTTTATTTTATTTTTATTTATTTATTTATTTATAATACAGGTTAAGTGTTTGAGATGAATTATCATGTATGACATTGTTAATTAATTAATTTTTAATAAATTTACTTAGAAAAATCAAATAATTTCGCATTATAAATCTATCTAAACCATACCTAAGGAGGTTCCGCTTGAAAACTCCATCAATTCCAATTTTTCTTGCTTATGCACAGAGAACGGAGGGGCCTTAAGGTCAAAACACAAATTTTAATCACATGGCAATAAAAAGAAGGGACGATGAGTATTTTGATACAAATATCCGTTTTATGACAGGTCGAGTTCAAATCGGGTGATTTATCATGGGATGCGGGTTGGGGCAGATCGATCCAAATGGGCATGTAAATTCAATGTAAACCTTTGAAAATACTCATTTTTTCATTACAAAAATTCAAGAAACAAACTATAACACAATTAATATAGTTAAATTATTCATAAAATTGAGGTTCTCACATATTTACAACTTTATTGTAGTTAAAATATTAGCTAATAAAAGTAAAATGCTAAGTAATTTGAGTAAAATCACATGTGATTTAAGCAAGAACGGGTCAAAAAATGGGACAGGTCGGGCAGAGCAGGTCGAGGACTTTATCCATGCCCCTCGCCCACTTACCGGGCAGGTATTACCCTCCAAAAAATAGGTAAAACAGATGAGATAAAACGAGACCAGTCGAAATTGTCATCTCTAACTACAAGCTTTGTGTTTTCCAAGATTATATTGTCCTTCCATTGTTGCCTTCTGATTGGTAGGGCAAAAGCCAGATTCGTTGTGTTCGAAGTGTATGTGAATATATCAACTACGTAGTGTCATAGGGTTCCATTAGAAATTAATAGATTTGAGAACAGAGAAGTGAATTCTTGAGGCACGTCAGCGAATATTTATAGAATTTGTTTAACTAAATTTCTTTTTGGCGAAGAGAAACAATTAGGTTTGCACGTTGATGTTAGAAGTTTGTCATTGTCAACTATTTTGTTGATATTATTTATTCTAAATATTTTTTGTCGGCTATTTTGTTTAGTTCTATGCCTCGAAGAAATAACCCACGTGGAGAGTCATACAAACAACCAAATAACGCTTCAATTCATTCGTTAAAAATTGAATGCAAGTATAAATATTTTTATTAGCATAATTATATACATCTTACAATTTAATATGTGTCCATATCATGCATTATTAAAAAAAAATATCTATTTTTATAGCACCAGAAGGTGTCGTGAATTCTAATCAATCTCTATCTGAACTGCATAATAAATTTTCTTATGGTATGAATATGGCTCATAAATTGATTGTAATCTGTTAACTATTGCATACTGCTTGATCTTACAAAACTACCACTATCCATTTTTCTTTTTCAGAAATTGATTCACATAAGCCAGAGTTAAAGAGAATTGATCAATCATTGACTAAATTAGTAAAAAGTAAACATGCTCTTAATATATGGCAAAAGCGTATATATGAAAAATTGTCAACATTCTTACCGACAATCCATTATTTTCATGTTTGTTGTCAATTTATATGTTATCAAATTATGTGTTAGATGCTAGGATCGCTTATTTTAATGATTCATATACAAGACTTCAAAATGAGATGAATAACTTACAAACTATGAGAAATAGATTGCTGAGGTAAATCAAACTTGCTGAAAATTGTTATAATCGTCTTCGGGTGATGCGATCTGGAGAATTTCCAGGTTTATGTATATTTTAATTATTTCATTTTCCTTCATTTATTATAATGTTGGAATTATTATCAAATGCATTTTTTATATTTGAGTTTTAATTTTATTGCAGTTGTTGAAGTGTTTGATATTGGAACCCCATCAAATAAATGTGAATATTGTGGAGCAATGAGGTGGAAGGGAGAAAATACCAAACCCACAAGGAATTCCAATGAACGAAAGTTTTTATTGTGTTGCAGACAAGGCAAAGTGAACCTCCATACTCGAAGGTAGCCTCCCAAAGTTTTGGATATGCTATTGCAAGCAAATACTTCAACGGGACGTTAGTTTTTGGAACATATATGTGGCTATAATGGGGTCTTCACATAAACTTATATTGGAGGTCAACTGGACCGATCTATAAATGATGGACAAGCAATATATTTATTCAATTGGAAGTCAAGTATAACACCGCATCAGTAGCTTGATGCCTACTGAAAGAAACATACCAAAATTTGCTCAACTCTACATCTATGACACTGATAATGAACTCCAAAATAGGTTAGACTTTTTCTCCACAGATCGAGCTTCAAATCCTTACCGCGATTCAATTATTTAAACAATTGCGGGAGATGTTAGATTCAAATAATATCTTAGTAAAGAAATTACGATCTTCAGGGGATAAAATGAATGACACTACTGTTCAACAAGTTGAAATTAAGTTGCTTGCTAAAATTAAGAGAATGAGATGGTAGATTATATGATTTGCCATCTGCAAATAAGGTCGCTGCTTTAATTAATGATGATACTGGGGAGCAAACATTTTCTCCTGATATTGGTGCTCATTATGGAACAAATTAGTATATACATCCACGTTTAATGGCTTTCTAATATCCCATATTATTCCCAAACGGCAAGGATGGTTGACACCCATATATTCCACTTTTTGTGTTGAGGATGTTGATGGATACAAAGAGAAGAATATGACCCAATGTATATGTCGATTAGTAAAATGGTAAAGACACATCTAAATTAATTTATTATTAATATAATCATTAATAAATAAATTAATGATAATAAATCAAAGATCGTCAAATTTGCAAGCAAAAACACCTTATGGTCAACTGGAGCAACCTTGCTACTGGTGATTCCAAAAATTCCAGAATTCATTAAATTTGTGCCAAGGTAAAATTCACAACAATTTAATCTTTGTATTTGTTTATGCCTTACAAGTTTGAACTTCAAAGAACAAAAAGAGATTAATTAACATTCTTTTTGGGTGAATAAAGTGATGGCGATGCACCAATTCCTCCAATGAAAGCACAGGAAAAACTCAACTGCCAGTCCCAACCAAAACACTACATGAGCTCAATCAATTATATAGGAAAGATGAAGGTAAGCATCAGTTTCGAATTAACAACTCATTAACTATCAAATACTTAAAATTTTTGTAATATGTAGAGAAATATATATATTCCGTAAAATGCAAATTTGTCAGGATTAAGAATGGATGGTGCTTTGCTGGATGTGAAACCTGTCCACAAAAACTCGAAGAAGACTCAGCCGAGTACTTCTGTGGGAATTGCTCAAAGGCATTAAAAACGACAACATCAAGGTAATGTAATCATTATTAACGTGAAATTTGATTAGGTAAAGTTCAGTGATTAATATACATGCCAAGTGATTGAATATTTAATCTTCCAAAATATAATTTATATTATTTTCCGTACAATTTAAAGTTATATTACTAATACATAAAAAGAACATTTTCCTTAATGATTAGTAATGCATGGTACTTATACAAGCAGAAACCTTTCGTGTACCTCAACAAAAAAAATTATGTTATTACCATCATTATACAGATTCAGGATCACCCTCCGAGTTGCGGACAAAACATGAGAGGTTGATCTTTGTTGTTATGGATAAAGTGGGAGCTCAAGTTTTTTGGAATTTTGGCTGAAAGGCTATTCCAAGGATAACGATAGAATTAGAGGAACATCACCAACTCATTTCTTACAAATTGAGAGAATGATGTTGCAGTTCGGCATCAAGCTCACGGATTACAACATTGCTAATCTAACAAGTGAGTACACAATTACCAAAATATGGAAGAATGAAGAAGATCAATTCACCAACGATATTCATGACTTGATCGAGGTAAATTATATTTGATTAAAATGATGATCAATCTTAATTATAAATTTGTGTTATTCTCTATTGGATTTGAATTTTAATACCATGCACACCTCATACTGAGTTATACTCTTTAATCGAATTCACATCATGCAACGACCAGATGAATGGATCTGTGGGTTTAATTAACATAATTGGCTTAGACGAAGAGGGCTGAGGGTTTAATTAATAAAATAGGCATTTAGTTATTTAACAATCATACTGAGCTTGCCGCAAAGACGAAGAACACCCATTTCTTTCTTTCAGTACGACCTGCTTCGAAATATGGAGGATCTGATATTTTTAATCTTTATATTGGGTGTGGAACTTTGCTTCCTTTCCAACTAACTTGAAATCGATTACATCCGGCTATAATTTGATCTACAATATGTATTGACCAATCATGATTCGATAAAACCACCCATATGTTGTACTTTTGAATGTATAATCTAAATTCATAATGATGATGCAGGAGAACAAGAATGACGCTGCTAATGGTGGAGGTAATGGATCCGGTACTAGAGCTGATGATGATGTTGAGAAGAAGAAAGGCATTGTTCATGAGGAAGATATAAAGACTGGTGATGAGGAGAAAGAACAAATCCAGGGAATGTTGATAACTTGGACGAAGTAAATTATACTCCAATGAAAAAGATGATTTGTCTTTGAAAATATATTTTAACATCAAATTTTCGTGCTCAATGAAATGCAGGATAACAAGAAAAAGATAATTGAAATCTAGGAGAAGAAGAAAAAGTCAATTGATATTGGAGATAAATGTGTCGCTAATGGATATGAAGACATTATATCAATGGTGATGATGAGGTTGTTGATCATGTCGGAGGAAATGCAAACAAGTCAAAAAGAAAACATACAGTAATCTCTAACGATGACGAGTACCTAGAAGGGTCATTATCATTGGTATTTAGGAGTCAGTTCCCTTGCATGGGGTTTTCTTTCATTCTCGTAAAACGATTTTAGTCGATTAGTCATTAGTATCGGAAAACAGTACAATTTTCATTTCTTTGAATTGTTGAACTATTTTAATAATTTGGATTCTCTTATTCTAAAAATCGATTTGAATCTTTAAACTATTTGAAGAATTTTGATTTTCTTATACTAATGTGAAGCCAGAATACAGATTTCTATCGTTATTTACGTAATTAACAATTGAATCCGGCCAACTGGCCGGGCCTGTGACTAGTGTTGACTGTGTTATTGACGAATACTAGTTCTTCTGATTTTGAGTATTAGTTGTATAATGTTGACTGTGTTGTTGACAAATACTAGTTCTTCTGATTTGAGTATTGTTGTATAATGTTGACTGTGTTGTTGACGAATAATAGGGGTGTACATGGGTCGGGTGGTCCGGGTTTAGACATTTTAATCACCCGACCCATGCACTACGATTTAGGAAATATTAAACCCAAACCCACCCAAAAAAATCTAAACCCTATGGTTTGTTTCTAATTGGGTTGGGTCGGTTTGGCGATATTTTTTAGTAAAAATCCAACCCAACACAAAATATGTAATTATTCTACACCATAAAAATATTTTATAACTAATTAAAATTCAAAAGAATAAACCGAGGTGAAAGGTATCAAAATTCACAAATGTTGTTTGCATTTTAATAAAATTTAATTTACTTCAACTTATGTCTAGTTTTTTTCACGACATTTGTAGAAATAAGCTAAATAGGTTACAAATGTACGCATCCACAATATGTTATTCTATTAAAATTGTACACAAGAAAAAGAATTATGTGAATCATAGCTATATTGAATTTATGTCTAAACTTTAAGCCGAAGAATGCATTAGATTAGGGAAACCTTAAGAGAAAAACATGGAGAAATATCTTAATTTTCTCATAAGTTTGGCTATATACGACATAAATATTTTTTTGGATACCCTCCAACCATGCTGCTGCGATTGGGAAACCTCCAAGATAACAAGTGTAAGGTTATGCAACCCTGAAAAACTGTAACACATTTGTACACAAGAGTCGTGCAGGAAAACTTATACATCACCGTAAGTACACAAAATTGTAAAAGCAAATACAAGTACCTATCAAGAAAGAAATACCCATATCAGTATCCTTGCTGCGGCAAATCTGCAAGCACTTCAAGCTAGCAAGGACTGAGACAAGAACTATCGAGTACTCTCAGGTGGATGACAGGATATCAATGTAATTTCTTCAAAAATATTCTTCACTCACGATTGACAATTCTGGGGCACACTAAAACTTGTGAATCGGAAAACTTAGACTCTTTTTTGATGGGCTAATGTAATTTCTCAATTTTTTAATTTGAGTTTGTTGTAGGCTTAAACATCAAATAGAAATAATCCATCATTTATCAAGCCCGCTGCATAACGCGGCATGCTTATTCGTTGATTGTAAAGTCCAAACGGTTTTTTCATCTTTTTCTAAAATAAAGCTTCCCATTCATAGTTTGTTTTCTTAATCTTTTTCAAGTAGCAAATGGCATATAGGTGCCAAAAGTGCAAGTACAGCCGAAGACCGTGTCCACTAGACTGTCGCTTCAGACCCTACTATCGTCCTGGGGAGCAAAATTTCCAAATAGTTGTGAATGCATTCGGGCGTTACACTAGTCAGATAATGGAGAATGTACCCAACCGGAGCCATGATAGGGTCCTCTTCGACTCCCTAATGTTCGAGATTAATGCTCGTACAAACAACCGTGTTAGTGGTGCTAGAGGAGTTTTGGCTGTCCATCAACAAGAAGTTGGGTTTCTCAATCAAGAGATGCAAGCTTTGTGGACACAGAGAGATAATCTGCAGCAACAAAATGAGGCACTTCGGAATCAAAACAATGCTCAGCTACAGTACATTCAGGATCTGCAACAACATCTATATCTATATCTATATCTATCTATCTATGGCTATTCAAAAATAACTTCTTGCCACATAAGCACTTGGTGAATGCACAAGTTGCCAAGGTGGACAATTTTTCACAAAAAAAAAACTATTTATTGATCTAATTATGAAGCTATCTCTCTCTTCTTTTAATAATTCTACTCATTTTTACTACAATTAAAATAAGTAAATTTTTTAGGAAACATTTAAACAAACAAACACATACATAAGTAATAATCTTTTTTTTTCAATTAAATAAACTATAAAGATGGAAACAGTCAGTGACATATATCATATTTGTTTAACCCAAGCTGATTAAATCTGATTAAGTAAATTTTCTACTTATTTTTACTAAAATTTAATAAAAGTTACATTTTGATGAGAAAAAAAAACAAGCACACACATAAATAATAATATTTTCCAATTAAAAAAAATATAAATGATGGTCTAAGAGAAAACAAGCGCTTGATAATCAATCGAATTTGAGAAATGAACGATATGACTATATGTTTTTTGCTATCAAACACTCACTTCTTTCTAATGTATATACCTATCAAATAAAATTAGTATAAATTTTGTAGCAAAATGTTTGAATATAAACTTGATAGAGCAATAATTTTTTTTTAAAACTTCTTATTTATTCCGATTAAATAAAAACATATTAATTATTAATGCAAAATTTTAATTTTTTCTGTCCCTTTCCCCATTTTGATTGTCTCACTAGAAATAAAATCCAACTTTGAAAATAATAAATCAAGAAAGTATGTCAACCACCATAAAAATAAACAAAGCCCTCTTATTAGTTGCTAATTTTTTTGAGATTTCTAATATTTGTATTCTCATAATTTATAGAGAAGGAAATGGTAAATATATAATTTTTTTTCTTTGTATGAGAATAGGTGGCAGGAGTTACACGAGGCGACGATTAGATGGCAAAATTTTGAGCTGTTGTAACATATTTTTGCCTGCTAACGAAAAAAGTTTATCTGATCATTGTGAATATGAGGTGAACCAAGCCGAGGGTTGTCGACTGATTCCTCTTCCTCCTTGATCTGAAGCTGGCAACTGGTCTCACTTTCTCAGCTATATGTTATTGTTTGCGGTTGACTGGCCGAGTTATACTCTTCTTCCCATTCTTTTCTTAATTTCTTCCAAATTACGACTGCTGGATGGTAAATTTCCCCACTCTCGATGAGTGAATGTATTTCTTCTTTGTTTTTCACGAAGAAGGGTCGCCATATACTTTTATTAAAATATATAAAATATAATTAAAAGGGTTAATTGGTTGGACTTAGGGCATACCTCCTTTGTTTGAATAATTGATCGTTTTTCTTGAATACCTATTGCAACCCGATTTCTTGAATGTTGAAATGGAAAGTAGAGTTGTGATGGTTCTTTATTATATTTTTATGTTCATGATTGACATGCAATGATGATATGCTTAGTAATTAGTAGGTAGCAAAGAGGTTATAAGTAGAAGGGAACATAATTGGAGTTTTATAAAGGTCGGGAAGAAGAAAGAAAATGATAATGGTGGTTTCTCGGTTGTCTATTTCGATGTTTTTTTTAATTTCTACATGTTTGCGGTGACATTTATTTGTTTCATTAAGGTGAATTTTTCCGCATTGAATTCCTAACTAAAGCTTGATTTTGACATGATTGTATTTTTACAAATTACTATTTGGATTGATCCATATATCACTACACAAATGAGGAATCTGCATGATAAAATGAGTTGAGTTGTATTGAAGACCGCTCCTTTCATTATTTGTCTATGTTGTTATTAGGTAAAAAAAGAACAATTCTTTTCTGCAGGAGATATGTAGCTCTCTACAAAATATAAATTGTGTTTAAGTATATGCAGTTTAATTTTCTGAAAATATTGCTTTAATAAGTTAGTGACAGCTTATAGTTTTGTTTGTGGTTGGTTTGCTAGAACATTTCAAGGTAATTAAATGAGTACGTGGAAGATTGATGGAGGTGGATGCTAGTGAGTTTCCTCATTATTCCAAAATTGTATGTGCAAGTGATAATACACTATATTCATGAGATTTAGATCGGAATATTCTCTATTATCATATACCGACATATGAGAAGGGAGAGAAAATAAAAAGCTCTTCGCTTATATTTTTATTAATTGAAGCATATTTTATTATTCTAACTTCTTTTTTTGTGTCTGTAAATTTTTTAACTTCTTTATCACAATTGTGTGCTAAAGAATGAATAACTCTTACGTTTATAATCTTAAAGGGTGAGTTCAATAAAAAAATTCTAAATCAGTAAAGAACAGTGAGCTCAGTTAATAAAATTAAAATGTTCATAAATAAACAAAAGGTATAAATGTATGAAACAATACCTGAAATAAGGTAAGTGGGATTTACAATTTCATGTTTATTACCTTAACAAACATAAATAATAATAACAATTAGAATACTCTAACGAATTATAAAATAACCAAACAAAATACACCGCCCAACGGGTGGGTAAAAAACTAGTATTAATGATGGACTTCCCCCTCCCCTCCCCCTCCTCATTTCTAAGCATATCCAAAAGCAGAGAAGGGAGATGGATGCAAATGAGGAGAAAGGATCAACATGGTTTAGTGATTTGTTTCCTCTTTCTTTCAATGGGTCGAAGAGAAGAGAAGAGAAGAAATGCGGAGCAAAAGTAGGAAGGATTGGAAGGTGTTTTGGTTTCTAATTGGCAGGTAGTTGTATGTTATGTTTTCATTTTGGGCCTTGTTATGACTTTCTAGGGATTATGTAATTGGAATGATTGTATTAACTAAGCTTTAATGATATGTAATGACTCATGATAACTGCAGTGAATTTGCAGGATTCCATGCTTAATGATTTCAAACTCTTCTA